TTAAGGGAGGTTTGTAAGCTCCTCCTAGTCTTCATTTATTACTAAAAGCATTAATAATCCAAATTGGACCTCCTTCTCTTATTTTTATAGTGGTGTAAAAGACCATATCATATTATCTCTTCCAATATTTCTTATCAAAGAAGGTGCCTTCAAAGCACTCTATTTTAATATTTAGGATGTTACAATTCTATTATTATTTATTAATTAGGTTAGATTGGTCTTAATTTGCAATGTATCTTTTGCAAAGAGAAGTACAGTAGAGTCTTTTACTTGAATCTAATAATATTTTTTTTTTTTTATTTTTATTTTCTAGTATACTACATTATTTCTCTTTGGTAGCCAAATAAATTCAACTTATTATTTTAGCTATATTAGAGTCATGTCTTCAGAGCCTTCTTATGACAATAAAATTTTTCTACTCATTCCATTCATACTTTGAAGTACATCTTGATTCTCCATTTGAATAGTAGTTCTTTAAGCAATCAATGTCTTGACTCAATGGCTTGGTGCTACTTCTAAATCCTCCTACCAAAGAGTTAGAAAAGCCTATCAAAATTGTGGGATTTTGATCTGCAACCAAAGAAAGGGGAAAAAATTCCACATAGTTTTTACTTGTGGTGATCTACAGAAACATTTGCTTGTATACAAAGGCATATACTATTGGTCACTTATTTTGTAATACAACCACATCTACCTCTAAACCTCTTTTATTTAATCTAGTGCCTTTATATTCTTTAATTATATATTTGGTGTTGAGGCAAAAATAATATCTAATAGAGAGATTGTATTAATCTGCAATAATAACCAATTTATATTTAATTAAGTTATTTTTTATAAAGAAGAGTGTTTTCTAGCCAATGCTTGCATCTATAACTATATAAAAACTTTATTTTGCATTAATTTCATTTTGGATGTTGCTCCTAAAAAGAATACCTAAGCCTTCCATAATCTAAGATGTCACTTTCATAAATTTGCAAAAGACACTTCTTAATATTACTTAGGTCGGCATCTAAAGACTTTTTAGGCATCTAGAGTTAAAACTTGGTATTTGTATGTATAGAATATAGATCTTCCATTTCAACCAATTTAGAGTAAGCATAAAAAACTTCTTTGTAATAATGGACTATAGGCTAAGGACTTCAAAAAAACTCTTCTAAAGGTCCCTCTCCAATACCACCACATTTCCAACATGTTCTTTTATTGTAGCAATTTATTTAGCTAAAACATAGAAGTCTACTTACCTCCAATAAAATAAGTTACTATTGCATACTTTTGCAATTGCTCAATTTCTTTTTTTACAATTTCTTAGTCAACTTGTATTGCAAACATTGTGATGTAGAGCAAGAATCTTATGTCGCTTCGTGTGTAGCTAATGGAAAGTATTTTATATTCAACCAAAAATTTTGAATGGAATTTGTGTGTTTGTCCATATTTGTGACACCTGCTATTACTTCCAGCTCTATTGTATTTATAGTGTGGACAGCTTTGGAAAAGTTGCAAATGTCCCCCAACTTTGTTGGCTCTACTAGGGCATGCTCAATATTAGCCTTTACTGAGTCCGCATAAGTGTATATTCTTGCCATTGTACATAATGAATTTGCCTTCAAAATCCTAACTCTAAAAACAAACCTCAACCAAACTTTTGTCCCACTTGTCTCTGGATTGCAAATATTGGAAAAAGTGAAGTTGAATGATATATTGTACACTGTGTGGCAAATAGCACACCAATGGCAAATTGAACCTAATGCATACTCAAGCACAATTGATTTTTAATCTACAATGGAGGTTCTGAGCTCAGACAAGTTATTGCCTCCGGAGCTTCATTGCTCCTTCCTCCATCCCAATGTCTTCTTTTAAAACCCTCCAATGTGACACTTGTTGATAAAGACATTTTTGTGGTACTTTAATTTGATGTGGTATTTGGATCCAATGTAGCATGTACTAATTTATTCTAAATCCAATTGAACACCACACATCTATACAGCCCATTAATTAGATAGGTTTGTTTTTCACACTTAAAACATTAACTGTTAATCTATAACTTGATATCATTTATAAATTATGTCACAAGTATAGTAATAAATATTTTAAGTTTTTTGGTGTTATAATTTAAGGCTATTTTAAAGAAAATTCAATTAAAAAAAATATGTGTTTTACATGCAAGGACAAATGTTTTGACACCATAGGTCTGAAAATGATCAACTTTTGATTTGTAATTTTTTTGGCTAATAATTCTAAATAAATGAATAATAAATAAATAAATAAGTTAGAAAAATGAGCCTAATATTATATTCAACATACAATTACAGTTTTTAATGTACAATTTTGTAAAAATGTCTATGAAGTAAGAACATGAAAGTATAAATCATTGTATAAGCTAATGGTTCAATTAGTATAATTTAATTAAGGGCTATCAGGCAAGTTTGAATTATTATGTTGATGTCAAACACTTCTCAACTGTAAAGAATGCTTGGATGAAGAACATTCCAAAAAATATTGATTCTGGATCAAATCATTTAGCACACTCTACCTGTATGTATGTATGTATGTATGTATATATATACACACACATATATATATATATACCTTCTTAAAAGTAAAATATTATATATGAAAAAAAAAATTGCTCTAACATAACCATGAAATTAAGGTTTTTGTATAAAAATTTAACTACTAAATTATATATAAAAAAACACAAGTTATGTAATAAATAATTTGTACTAGATCAATCACACCACCTAATAACACTTTAATACTCTCTTTTTTTTCTTTTTTTTTCCTACATCCACATAATAAAAAACATGAGACTTTGAAATTCAAAGTATATGTATACTATTTTAAGATATGCATCATGACATCTTAACATCATGATATAAATGATGTAGACAACATAGGAGGGTCAATAATGTTTTACAATAAATTAAATAAATTTTATTTTACTAATTTAAAATACATAATAGAAATATATATATATATATATATATATATTAATTTAAAAAAACATATTGAATAACTAGTGTTCAAATATTCAAAGATTTAGCATTGAGTGACAAAATGGTAACGTTTATTGCCAATGTTAATCACTAAAATGTATTATTGAATTAAACACAATAAAGTAATAATTGATCTGATAAATTTCATACATTTTCATTTACATTAGCTATTTATATAAACAAAATTTTATACTTTTAGAGTGAATAAAAAAAATGTGCAGATATATGTGTGTATACAAGGCATAGGGGCAAGAGCAGTATGACTGTGAAACATTGATAACACAATGCACAAAATTCTTTTGTACAAAGATTAAGAACTGATGCAGCAATGGTTGCTGTTTTTGAAAATAAGGTTTTCATTTGACAATGTTCATAGATGACCCAAAAACTAGGAACATGCAAGAGTGGGATTATGTTTTTTGAACATGGTAAACAAAACATGATTTTCACACTTTTGTGCATCCAAATGATATGGATTGAAACTCAATGGAAATGAAGCCAATAATTTTTGAATAATCCAATGTGGATGGGCATGGACGTGGCAATGTGTAGCCCTTCTCCCCACACGGGTTCCAACTAATACTCCTCACATGGAAGGACACACAGATAAGATGCTCATTTAAAGTCAACATAGATGGATGGGGTTCTATTTTTGTACGTCTTCATTCACTTCTTCATTAATTCATACATTCCACCAAGTGTGGACCCAATTCTGTGAACTGCAAGTTAAGTCCCATGCTCTTGTTCACAAAAGCCTCATGAAGGAAGTCACAAGACGCATGCATAATACTGTTCTTTTTGTTTTTGTTTTGTTGATGTTGTTGCTGGATCTGCCCCACCCTGTCTGCCCATGGTCCCTGCCAATGCCCATTACTCCTGTTCCAAGCATGGTTTACTGTGGTCTGTAAAATGTGGTTTTGGATCTTTATCTTAAGCAAAATGAGATGCAAAATAACTTTGGTTGTGTAAGAATAACCATGTACTAAAATATTTACTGGCATTTTGAGCTTTGGAGAAATTGAAATTAATGTTCTAAGATAAAGAAGTAGAGGTGCCCCATTTGAAGATCTGTTCATTGAGATGATGACCCATATGCCACACATTGAATTAGCAAATAAGGATAGGATTGATTGATTTATTTTAAACAGTTTTTTTTTTTTTTTTTTTTGAAACATGGAAAGAAAAAGAAAATAACAAGAAGCTGTATGATGTAGATTTGGCAATTTTGACAAAGTCAGTATTTTTTTCATAGATTTCATCAAAAAAATACAAGGAATAATGGGCATAAATTTAGCATCAAACCAAAAGATCATGTGTTGACTTTCTCTCTTTCTTTCTGACAAACTCATAGAAGCAAAGGTGTAATAAAAATGAATAAACACCTAATCTGAGCACAACAATTTGTCAAATGACTTGGGAAATATGGACCATAATTAATAAAAGTGTTAAAAATAATGATAAATCTTACATATCAACTACAACAAGATTAAAAGATTGATGAGGAACACAAATTAAAGCTGTATACAATACATATCACATCAGGGATTTTTTATTCAGTCGTGTTCAAAAACTTTTGTGAATTTTCATTAAAGCCAAACAGTAAGACGTCATGATATTTCACACAATCCCAATTACAAACACGTAGAACACCACATGATATCTAAATGAGGATTTTTTGACCAAAAGAAAAACTATATGGCAACAAACACAAACTTTTATAACTAATACTTACATTAAATTTTAGGGGGGGGGGGGAAATACTCAAAAGAAATCACTCCATCTAAAAATTACCCAGAAAGAGAATACTATTTATATTTTTATATTTTATATTTTAAAAATAAATAAATAAATGTGATAGTATGGATAAGGAAGAACGGGGGGGGGGTCACGAGGGGAGGACGATATCGGAGCGCGGGTGGGAAGATCGTGGGTACCCGAGGATCACCCCCCACCCGGCCGGAGTAGACGGAACCCGGGCAGGATTAATGCACCCGCGCCGCCATCGAGGCCAGCCAAATCCCGCGCTCCGCTTCGCAACCCCGCGCGCCGCCCCCACGCCCTCGTCGCGCTGCATCCTGCTCCACCTCCTCGCCTTACTCCCTCAATCGCATCCTCGTTGGTTGGATTTTGCTGGTTTCGCTTGAGGTGACGCAGCTGGGTTTAGTGGCTTGGATTTTGAATGTCGTCGTTCGCGTTGGAGGACTTCGTCGGGGATGGGGTGCTGCGAGACCAGATTGAGAGCCTGATGGCGGATGGCTGGGACGATGTGCCCACGCTGAAGGTGATGAGCAAGGAGGACATGAACACCCTCCAGCTCAGCCAGCTGCAGCGGGTATGTTCACGGGTCCTCCCGCAGTATTGAATCCGTGGTGGAGTTTCGCGTCAGGTTGTTGTTGTAGTAGTTGTTGCAGTCCGAACGTTTGTCTTCATTGAAGTTGACATGACGACCTGAGCGTCGTTGAATTCGTGAGATTTGGCATTTACTGTTTGAGGTTTTGTCAGTTGAGACTGGGCGACACTCTCTCCCGTGCGTTGGACCTGGTATGTGGACATATTTGATTCTCCCCTAGCTGGGTAGCAATTCTTGAAATAGAGTGGAAATCGTTGACGTACTCGACTCATGAACTGGAAATGTAATCCTTCGCCGTTCTTGGCTTCGGAAGTAGCCTGGTCTTCTACCTGCATTTAGATTGTCTCAATGGGGGTGTCTTCAAAGACATGAGGGCGTTGGTACTTATGAAATGATATCTGGTGACCATCAATCTTAAGTTTCTACAATTGACATGAAAGGTTTGCGAAAAAATGCATTCGCAGTTGAATTGATCGAGTCGGGTGCATATTATTGCAACAGCTCCAATCTAAAAGCCATTTTTTTTTCCTACGATTTCTCGTAAGCGCAAAGGAGACTCTTCACATAATTGGTTAGATTCGATTTTTTCTACCTTAAAACATCACCACGGAACGGACTAGTGCAGGAGGCTACGTGGCTACATGAAATTCTAACGTGTGCATGAGCGTACCCCTAGGTTTCCTCGCCTTGAACACTTCTAAATCCCTGAGTCCATACACTGGGATATATTAGGTCTAAGTGTACGGACAGCAGTGCCTTGTGAAGGAAATTGCACTAAGTCATAAATTTTTTGACTGATCAACATCACCTAGATGCATTCCTTTGACGTTGTACAGGACGCTTTAGAGCTCCGAACCTACCTCCATGACAGGCTGCTCATGGAGTACGCCGACACACTGGAGGCATCGGGGAAGAATTTGCAGGAGCTTCTGATCGCCAAACCATCAGAGCTCACCAAAGAGTATAAGATGAAGAGGGGTCATGTAGCCAGGTTCCTAGACAAGAAGAGCAATTCCACCATCCAACTGCCTACGGATCTCGTCCTCCCCGCAAGGAAGATCACCGCTGCTCGTCACGGCGGTGCACCTATTTCGCTTCCAAGAACGCTAACAATGTCGCCACCTAGACAGCGACGCTCTGAGCACAGCAATACTAGCACTGACAGCACTGACGGAGGATCAACAAGCCCAGCGGTTAGCGACCTACAAGGTTAAAACAATTTCTACGGCCCTTTCATGTTTAATTATTGAATTTTGAATACCCAATATGCTCAGAATGGCTTCACAATGAGATATGCAAATGTTGCAGAGTACGAGGCACCCGTGATAATGGCACCTATGAGTGCGCAGCCCCCAGTAATCACCAAGGGAATTTTCTCAGCTCCGGAGGCGGAAACCCGGCTTTGCGGATTGGTAAAACTGGGAGGCATGAAGCAGGAAGTGACCCCTCTCTCAACTCTGGAGAAGATTCTAGTTCAAAAGCTTGCGCCGCAACATCGCAAGGGCGTAAATCCCTTCAGAGGAAAAGGACCCATTCAGTTGTCTTCTCCTTTCAAAGCTTCTGAGTTGTGGGCCGACAAGCCAACCCTCATTCTGTGCCTTCGCCGCCCAGGGTAAGCATCTTCCTGCTGATCATCCGAAGCGACTAAGCTTCGATATGTGTTCGTTTACCCTGGAAGAAAACAAACTAACCAATAAACAAATAAAATCCAATCATTCGAGGCTTGGATTGACCTTCCAGTGGCAAAACTCTGCAGGTGCGTGATGTGTCGAGCTGAAGCACACCAACTATACTCTAGGAAGCCCATCTTCGACGCGATGGGCGTCCAACTGGTTCTCGTTCTCCACGAACACATCGACGCCGAGGTGCGAGCCTTCTGGCCACGCTACTGGGGAGGAGTGGTGGTGGTCGACGAGAAGCGGGACTTTTTCAAGGCACTAGGACAAGGAGAGCTGCCCAAGGAAGGGATTGTCACGGGGCTACTTCTCAACGGCGCAGCCAGGGCCAACCTGAGGCGCGCTAAAGCCGCAGGCCTGGATGGCAACTACATCGGCGAGGGCACCATCAAGGGGGGCATGTACATTATGCGTCCAGGCGATAGGGGGGTCGCATACCAGTTCATCGAGAGGAACTTCGGCGACTGGGCGCCCCTGGAGGAGGTTCTGCAAGTCTGCAGCCACATTCAGGTAGCAGTCTGCCGCACCACCCCATCACAATCGCCTTGATCTCTCGCCTTCTGGTACCATTCTTCTCTGCACCCTTAACCTGATCGTTGCTTTCTCTTGCCATCCCCTGCAGCATAGGTAACGAACTCCACCCCTCCAGTGCCGAAGACTGCTACCGACATCGCCCAGTACTGCTACCGACAGTGCCACAGTGGTGAAGGCGATGGTTTTAGTACAGAAGATGGACTTGAGAGCTGAGATTGAGCTTGGAATTGTTTGTATAATTTGCATGGCGGCGTTGGACGAGGATGTGCAGCCTCGTCCTCTTCATCAGATTAGGTATTTCGATTCACTTTTTCTTTTTTGTATCCGTGTTCGTGTTCCAACTTCCTGCCACATGTGTGTGGGTTCCATTTCGCACGTACTTGAAGTCACTCGTGATTTAGAGTTGTGGACCCCTCTGTTGTGTGATCTTGACTTTTTTGGTAAGTAATATGATTAAGACATTTGTATATATATATTTATATATATATATATATATATGTGTGTGTGTGTGTGTGTATGTTTATATGTACCTACGTACGCGTATGGATGTATGTATTGCAAAGAACCTGCTTGAAGGTAATGTTGTAAAGGAATGATATGGTTGGTGTGATGGATAACAAGTTTATTCTTTTAAGAGTTTTATAATTATTATACATGTGGTAATATACTGCAATTTTAGCAGTTGAGATTTCTATTGCTACATGTTGATGAAGATATTAATGAAATGATGGATACACATTAAAGTAAAGAGAAGAAAAAGAGTAGTGGAAAATTGTTGTTGTAACCAGTTTCTTGTTGTTTCATCATTCTATATCCTAAATGTTTTATAAAATAAGAAGAAATATTAACATAAATTGAAATGAAATCTTATGTTTTTTACAGGTAGTAATTAAAGTCAATAAGTAGTTTCAAATTTTGGAATACAGTTATTATATTTTAAATGCTATTATGCAATTCAACTGATATTAAAATTAGAAGGTTTTTGTCCTAATTTCTAGTAATCACTTAAGAGAAAATTAAATTGAATATTTTGAAACTTGTATAATATCTTAGACAATTTCAATGTTATGGCAAATATAATACTAATTATAAATTTAAAATAGAATAATTAATAATTTCATAACAACCACTATCATCAAAAAAAATTTATGATCAAACAAATATTTAACAAAATAAATTTTAAAGGCAGAAACATTTTAAATTATTATATAATATTTTGAAGATATGTTTGTATTTGGTAAAATAAAAATTAAGATTTTAATTACATATATAGTTATTTTTAAATATACTTAAATCCTATATTTAAGAATATTCAAACAATACAAACTGATTGTCATTTTTAAATTGTAATCAAACTTTAAAATATTTTAAACTATATAATTTTATTCTTTTTTATTATTTAACATTAACACATATACATATTTATATACAAACTTGGTTGTTTGTTTGTTTTTGTTTTTATTTTTATATACATATCCTTTTTTGTATTTACTATGATTTATTTCTTTTAAAAGGCGCTCAAAAATTTATTCATTTACAATATTATATTGAGTTTTAGTTATTCTAGTGTTTTGTTATTTACATTTTAAAAAATACTTTTCTACTAGATTTTTCAAATTTCATTATGCTTATTTTGTTTGTGATCATGTTTATTGTTCTAAATTTAATATTGTTCTTACATTAATACACAAAATTATTTTATCTTGTGTATTAAATATAATATAAAATGATAAAACAAGTTATTAAAATATATTATGCTATGTCCTACTGGTATATACATATGTGTATATATATAAATATAATCCTTAATTTTTTATTTTTTGTATATATAGATATATTTATATAATTATTTTATCATCCAAATATGTTGAATAATATATTTGGTTGGTTCTCTTCATTAATTACAATTTTTTTCTGTAGTTTGATAATTTTTAAACTTTTCAGACATAATGATTGAGATCTTTATTCTAACTATCAACTTCAATAGTATTTATTTTTACAGTAGTAAATAATCAAAGTACTACAAATATTTAAGGACCACTTACTATTGAACATGATCATGTAATTTTGTTATTTTACAACAAGTTGCTTAATAAAAAATTTACGGTATTGCTATCCTATCTTCTATTTTAAAAAACCATGTCATATATGTGGGTAAACTATGTATGTAAGTGCATTCTAGTTATAATATCACTTACTTTGTAATTAGTGTTTTCTTTCTGAAAATGTTATATTGCCGTATTAAATAATTGATTAATATATAGTTTATTTACACATTTGTATTTATAACACATTTGTTTTACTTTGTATAATAAACAGATTTAATCAAAATTTATATATAGTCCAGTAATTAATATTTAGGGATAATAAAAAGACAAAAACAAAAAAGTATAAACAATGTAAAATATCACACAACACAATACACTTGCATAAGGGATTGAAAAACACATAGCTTACCAATCTAGTTTGAATTCTACATGTTTAGAGAATGCAATCAAATTTAGGTTTGTTTCGAAAGAAAAGAAAAGAAATGAAAAGGTGGAATTTTAAAACAAATAAATGACTTTATGTAACAATCTGATACTGACAGCATTACCAGAGAAGTTGCAAGACAAACCAATTGTTACGATTACTTCAGTACTGGTAATCATATTTTAAAAGAGTTTTAATTTGATTAGTGGTATTTTAATTCAATGATTCAGATAAATATGAATACAAAATGATCAATTTAGAAATATAAAATTTGATTATCATATATCTTTAAATGTATTCACCTAACAAGCGCAAAACAGTAAAATCCAGTTTGTTCATACATGTATACAAACTACAGGTAACACAGTCACATAAAATAAAATGATCAACAACTTTCTTAACATGGAAATTCTTAGCAATGTTCAGTACGAAACACAAAATATCATACCCAAATACTGCATTAAATTAAATTCTGTACCATAGTGTAACCTCCTGCAGAAAGAATATGAAAGGGAAATGAAGTGGGAACTACTTACAGGTTTTTCAAGCTACTTTCAATGCAACCCACAATTAGCATCATCAACATCAACATAAAACAAATCCGTACAAGAACTTACAAAACAAAGGGGTCAAAGTCTGGACAAGACAGTCATAGTAAAAGGAATGCTAATATCAGCAACATCGCAGATTCCAAGTCTATATTGCAATTTCACTATCAATCAATCAGTCAGAGCTACAGACAACCCTCAGGCTAGTTGAGAATTAGCCTGTGAGAATTTGCTCATCTAACTTCAAGAGTCATGGCAGAAGGGACTGAGCAGAAGACTGCACCGATAGGGCGTTGAGAACAATGCCAACTCATGTATCAAACAGAGATTATGAAGCATGTGGCTAAGGGAAGAAACGAGCCAGATGAAGTGTAATTCTGAAAATGAATTGCTGGAAAAAAAGCAGCAGAAAATCGTTCTGATGTTGCAAATTAATCTACGACGGACACATCCCTATAACCGTTGGTAACCCGCTACCTAAACCCATCAATCCTTCTCCGGACTGGCATCAATTGCTAAATCCTAGTATTCTGTATTGAAACCAGTTTTGCAGTCCTTGAGCAAGTTCTGGTATGTTTGTTTGGAAACGACGAAATAGGTGCAAAATGAAACGCAAGAATCACACAAGTTCACCCTTCACTTCAATGCCCATGGAGCGAGCAGTGCCCATGATGGACTTACAGATGGATTCCAGCGGCATGTACTGACAGTCAGGGTCGGCTTGTTTGATCTTGGCGATTTCGTAAATGTGCTTAGGCGTGACCACCCCGGCGACCTTGTGACCCGGATTGCCGCCGCCTGACTGCAACCCCGCTGCTTTCTTCAGGAAATACGACGTCGAAGGCGACTTCACCACGAACTCAAAAGAATTGTCCTTGTATGCAGTCACCATGACAGACATCGGAACCTCTGACTTGATATGCTGCGTCCGCGCGTTGAAATCCTTGCAGAATGCCATCAGATTCAGACGGTGCTGTCCCAGAGCAGGCCCCACAGGGGGCGCAGGCTTCGCTTGCCCCGCATTCACAACCAGCCGAATGATCGCAGATACCTGTTTCGCAGCCATCTATGAAATAACCTGCTAACTACAAAACCGAGGAACTGCAACCTTGCTAGAAATCAAGTCATCATCAATGTCGACCTTGCGCCATAGCTTCCAAACACGAGAACAACTTCAGGGTGGGCTTTTAGGGTTTCAAAATTCTTAGGGATTTATCATATCTGAGTCAGTTCTTAATGTTTCCGCGAAGGAGCCTTGGTTTAATGGCTTCAATAAATTGGGTTCTCGAAAAGCTACCCAGGCACTAAGAAGTCCTGCCAATCATGAGAGGGTATAGGGCGGTTATAAAGCGGGAAGAAGCGTCGTCGTGAAGGCAATGCTTTTTCCCGGAATGGTTCATCAACTACCTGTCGCTGCTTCCACCTGGTCCCACAATTTCAAATCTGTCAGATCAATGGTCCGTTGGGGTCATATTCTAAATTTAGCTCTTCCAGATTTGAACATTTTGTGGTTCTGTCCCCCATGTCCCAGCCAGCCTCGTCATTGACAAGTCTGTGTGGTCTCGTGCTGTGACATTAAGTGCTTGTTACCGCGAGATCCCGACGTACATTATTGCGCTATCAAGGCAAATATTGGAGATATAAGACGGTCTGGATGGGGTTAATCGTATTGAGAAGAAACGGCCTGGAATGGGTGGTTGTCGTCACCTTCGTCGTGTGTCGTTGAGACTGGGGCTTTGAACGTTCTTTGAATGGGGCCGTGTAGAATGGGAGAGCTTGGAAGTATGGATCACAAGCATCAGTAGCGCTAATTGCTGAGGTACAATCAAGAGAGAGTGAGAGCGCGAGTGAGCAGAAAGTCTCGATAGTGGAATGGGGGTTTTTTGCCATTTGTTGGAAACCTGCTGGCATTATGATTTACATCGACATGTTGTGATCAAGGTGCACAAATGAAAGTATTATACGGAATTGGAAATTGTATGGTGCGTTCAGGGTTACAGAAACGCAGGAGAGGCTCTGCTTTCAGACACCGTAAGACGATGGCATTATTTCTTCTTTCGAGTGAGTATCGAAGATGTAACGAACTAATAAATAGGATAAGTTCACTTGAAGCAGAGCTGTTTGATTATAGTGCCTAATCTTTTCACTTGTACCAAGGTGCAGCACTGCTTTTAGTTCCGTCAATCCTTACCTATTTTATTTGGACGACCTGGAATTGCTGAAACATGCGGGATTGGAGAGGATGGATAGCGTGGTTCTTGAAATTCTATTTGGAGGCTCTGAAGCCGGAACGAGGTCCACTCTGTGCCCCACAAGTTAGAGTCCTCTAATTGCCGCTGTGCATGCATCGTAAGAAGCAAGGATGCAGGGCCCTAAAGCCCGGCTTGACCAGGTGGGTTTTGCTCTTCTGTTCTTCGTCCTTTTCCTGCTCTTATTGAAAAATGTCCCCATTTTGCTTCTTTGTTTTTACATGGACTCTCAAGTATCAATCAATGCCCTGGTCGTTGGTCTGGAAAAACAAGAGCCATTATACCTTCTGAAAAATCTTGTAACGTCGGCCACTGGTGTAACTAGCCAGAGGTAGGTTTTGATTGGGGTAACATTTCAACTGTTATTTGGAGAGTTGCCAGAGGCCTCTTAATTAGATGAGGGTATGGTTCACCTTAATCTGGAAATCACCAGGAAATTTCAATCTCGTTATTCGCTTTACCCTCTTTCGCTGGACAGAAGACCACACTCATTCAAAATTTGAGTAATTAATCATGTGTGTATTCGCAGACCTCTTAAATGACATCGATTAGGGTCATAGTGCTTAAGAGACTTTGTGCAAACCCTTTCAAATTTCAGCATTAACACATCTTCCTAAGTTTCTGTCAATCTTTCCAGAGAATTCTGTTTGTGCTAAAAATCAGGTATCTAGTTGCATTCTCACGTATTTCAGTTGTGTCTTAAGCTGCACGAAATTTGAGTTCTGAAAATCTCATGTATGTTTTCAGATATTTCCAGCAAGAAAAGTAAATGCTGTGGTGTTGCCTTCACCCAAGTTGAACGGTCCTCCACACGCAAAGAGGAAACAAAATCCAGCCGAGGTTTCTCCACAAAAGAAGGGTACTCTCGAAAGTTTTATTGTTAAAAGCAAAAGCACCGATAATCATCCCATCGGACAGGCTTGGAGTGGTTACGAGGATAAGCAAGCTGGAATCAACAGGTACATCAGACAGTCTACATGGCCAAAGCCTTCAACAGAAAGGTGGCTGCAAGGATGCGGGTCCAGTGCGTCAAAATTCGTGCCTAAGAGGCTACTGGAGCCGGATATTTCACGCAATGATTTCTGTACTGCGAACAATTCAAAGCCCATATTTGAAACCGGCGAAGGACATCACATAGGCCCTTGTCTTACAGAAAGCAAATCCTCGCCAGATCTCCTCCAGGCTTCAAGAAAGCTAACTAGAGAAACAACTGAGAGGAGTAATAGTCAGGGGCAACTCACACAATTTGCAGATGATCATCTGTCAAGATGTGTCAGGTATGAACGTGATCTTACTATTCTCAAGGGATTTTTATTCACTTCCCTCAAATGATGTTTAATTTAAGGTCACTTCGCTGAAAGTCTCCTATTCTTAATGGACATGTGCTGGTTTAAAACATGCTTTTAGAGTAACTAACAATTCTACTTTGGTCAGTGGTGTCATCAAGGACCTGCCACCGTGCAATCCTCCAGGTACTGGTGGAGTTGACAACTCTAAGAAAGCTATGAGGGTCGTCGATGATGACGATGATTGTCCTAGAGTATCAAAAAAGCAGAGACATAGTGATGGGCTTGAGCTAGATGTCATCTCATGTACGCAGCATTTTTTGCCCATACGCTTAAGTGGTAATGATGTGGGTACATTTGGGGATAAATTTGGGTCCGTCAAAGAAGAAAGGAGTGTGGGGTTGCTGAAGAGCTTTAAGGAACAAAGTATCGAAAGGGGTCTGTCTGGTCTACCTAGTATTTTCAGTTCGAAAGAATTTGCTCAGCTAGAACTCACTCCTGGAGGTGGAGTAGATCCCCGAGGTGGGTCAGATTTAGAGCTCACCTGTGATGTCCCTCATGTTGATGACGAAGGTATTCACAGTGGATCAGATTCTCCAAAGCTGTCGAAAGGGCTTGTGTCATGTTCCAATATTTCTGGTGCCTTAGAAAATAAGATCAAAAGCTCAGTGTCAGGTGACATCTTTGAGAAGGAAGCTTTTCAAATTGTTTCTTTTGAAGGATTTCCTCCGTTACCTCCACCATTCAAAACACCAGAAGAACAAGTATCACGACATAAATGGGGATCTGGTCGCAAAACCCCGAAGTCAAGGTCCAGGTTACGGAGTAAAAGTGGTGAAGGAGGTTTCGGCTCTACTCCATATTCGCGTAATGCCAAGAAATCAGACAGACGGTCGTTTAGTAGTGGAAAATCAGGGGGATGGCAGTACCATAATTCTCTGTTCTCTCCTGGTGACGCCTTCTGGGATGAAGCATTTGAAGCGGCGGATGTTTTGCTTGTCTCCAAATTAAACGGCGCAGCACAAAAGCAGAGCAGCAGAGGTAAAAGTATTTTATCAAGCGCCGAAAGGACAACACGAGCTGTAGATGGAGCAATTCAGAATCAAGTGGAACAAGTTCCAGGCATCCAGGGGATACTGGAAGTTGTTGGAGCCAACGTTGGTCGCTTTCAAGACTCCAGTGTGGAGAAAGGTCCTGCAGATGTTGAAGTCGAGAATTTGGAAGGAATAACAAACTTTGACCGGATTCCTAACACTAGGTTTGATGAGCTGGATATCTCTCCTTTGCCGGTGCGTCGATTCAGTTTCACTTGCCAAAGCAGTCCGCCAAACAAAAACGTTATCAAATTGACCACTGAAGAAGTTTCTAAGGCTTGTCCTACTGCTATCCAAGAGCCGCTAGGTCCTGTACGTCTGGAATCTTTTGATGGTAAGGACAACTGTTCCGGGGGTGAAACCATCAAAGCCAATGTTCATGTTATTGAAGCGTCGAAGGAAATTTGTGAGACCGTGGTGGGCACTGACCTGCAGCTTCAGGTCGTGGCTCATGTTGAACATGATGCAACTTCGAAGTTGCACGAGCCAGTTTTAGCAGTACCTTCCAAGTCAGCTGATTCCTTATCAGCTGGCCAAATGCGTGCGTATGCCCATTTATCAGCAGGAGATCATCAAGAAAGATTTGAGAGAAAGGTTATCGGAGCTGTCGTTCCTCTAGTCGCAAAACAAGAACATGCATTTATATCCCGAAGTCCAAAAAACATAAGTCTGGATCTTGCCGATTGGATTCCATCTGAAGCATGTGCTATGTATGCCAAAAAGGGCTTGAAAAGGCTCTACCCCTGGCAGGTGTCTCTCTATTCCTTGTTGCTCCTTCAAGATAGTTTTGTATTGCTCTCTGAGTATTGAAGCATTGATGTCTGAGCTATAAGGTCCAGAATGGACTGTCCTGTAAACTTGAGGAATTGCTTCGCACTAAAGTTCTGTGACTTGTTGAAAGGTCGAATGTCTGCAGGTAGATGGCGTGCTGGATGGCCGAAGTCTCGTTTACTGTGCATCTACAAGGTAAATAGTCTAACGTCATTATCTTATCTCTTTGGATTTCAAGCATTTTGCAGGTTTAGAAAGGTTGAAATCGTACATGCCCGTTTTTATACTTGCAGAAAGGTAATGCTGCGGTGGTAGCTGGTTGAGACAGTGCAGGGAAGAGTTTGGTTGCAGAGGTATTGATGTTACGTCGAATCTTGTCAACTGGGAAGAAGGCTTTGCTGGTGCTACCCTATGTAGCGCTGTGCTCTGAAAAGGTAATGTGCGCAATGTCTATTTTCTCGACTTACGTAGTCTACATTAATATTTGCACTGTATCTTCTCCATCCTTGTGATGAAACAGCTGTATGTCTTACTTATAAGTATGTCTTGAATTGTTACCTGGTCCACTTTTTCAAAGAAAATAGAGAACGATAGTGGCAAAAATGTGGTCTTGTAAGAAGCAAGTTGAATGTATAGAATAGCACTGTACTTGCAGAAAAACGTTTGAGCGTTGTAGTTGTATTTATTTTTCTTCTGCAACTAGCCACCAACGTGTGGTGTAATTAAATCTTTACAGGCATGTATCACTTTTCAAGCTAATTTGATATTTATACATAAATCACAGGCAGACCATCTGGATGCAATTTTGGAACCTCTTGGAAAACGAGTGCGAGGCTTTTATGGATCGCAGGGTGGTTCCAGCTTAACTAAAGACACCTCCGTGGCTGTGTGTACAATCGAGAAAGCGAACTCGCTGGTCAATAAGTTGCTTGAAGAGGGACGCCTATCAGAACTTGCTATTCTTGTAATTGACGAACTTCACATGGTCAGTTATTATGCTGCAATCTTTCATTGATAACCCTGGATCCGTCATAATTGGTAGCTGGTCCAATTTGCAATATCTGATAGTCTCAGCACGGAAGCAGGAGTTTTGTAGCTTCTGCATGAAATAACTTCTGCTTACGTGAGCAGGTCGGAGACACTGACCGTGGCTATCTACTTGAACTCCTCCTCACCAAACTCCGCTTTGCTGCCGGTGGTGGAGAGTGTAACTCACCTGGGTATAGTTCGAAGGAGAACAGAGGCTCAAGTTCAAGCCGGAATACTGAGTTGCAAATTGTGGGGATGAGTGCCACAATGCCTAATGTATCTGATGTGGCTACTTGGTTACAGGTGCTTATTTATAAGACGGTTTCTTTAGGATGTGTATTATCGATCACTCAATTATATTTGTTTCACATTATAAAGCAATCAATATTATTTTTGCATGGTGAAGTCGCAATACATGCAGCTGAGTTTCCCTCTAAGTAGATCAGAAGTGTGTCATTCTGGAATAATTTCAAGCTAGCTGTTATAGCTCTGGATCTAAAGGTACGTTTTTATCATGATATCATCAAAAGATCATCTGAGCTTTCCTAGCAAAGTTCCCATGTGATGATCTTTTGATGATTAAGAATGCCATTTGTAACCTCACAGAATCTGTTTTTCTCATTGCTTGCTGTTTCTGAAGCTGATGATATGTCCAGGCCGCTCTTTATCAAACAGTCTTCCGGCCAGTTCCTTTGGAGGAATTCATTAAAGTTGGTCATACTATCTACAATAAGAAGATGGAATTTGTAAGGTCAATCAAGAAAAATGCAGACCTTAGTGGGAAGGACCCTGATCATTTGGTAGAGTTGTGCCATGAGGTAATCCGTACAATCTATACTCTTTTCACTTGGAGTGGTCTTCATGTTGCTATTTGCGTTGGAGCACTTCTGAACTTCGTGAAACCTAAATCTTTTACCCAAGTTAAGTAATGTCGATTCGAAATCTGTGCATTAAACAGGTAGTAAGTGAAGGGCATTCAGTCTTAGTGTTCTGTTCCAGCCGTAAAGGATGTGAGACGACAGCTCGTCACATCAGCAAGTTTCTGCCTCCATTCACAATCGTAGAGAGAGATAAAATGATTGGACCAATAGATGGAAACGCAGCTGTGGAAGAGTTGCGGAAGTGTCCAGCTGGACTTGATCCTGTCTTAGCAGATACATTGCCAGCAGGCGTTGCTTATCATCATGCTGGTCTCACGGTACATAGTTTCCTATGAACGCCCCAATGTGATTGCGTAGCACTCAAAAGATAATGAAAGGCTTCTCCGCTGTTAACCGGTTAAAATGGACGTTGTCGAAGCCAATTTTTTTACACCCTTGAAACCATTGACAATTTCATATATTTTTCAGGAGATGATTTCGCAACTGATTATTATGAAGGTTCTAAATTGAGTATCAGTGATAATGGGTTTTTATACAGGGAGAAGAACGAGATATAGTGGAGGCATGTTTCAAGAGTGGTGTCGTACGTGTACTTGTGGCTACATCTACTCTCGCTGCCGGAGTGAATTTGCCGGCCCGTCGAGTAATTTTTAGACAACCAAAAATTGGTCGAGATTTCCTTGATGCAACACGTTACCGGCAGATGGCTGGTCGAGCCGGTCGTGCAGGCATTGATACCAAAGGAGAAAGTGTATGTGTTTGTCTCCATGTAACTGTTGCTTCATTCTACCTCCATAGATATTATGTGTCTCTGTAGTTCCATATCATTGTGGAGAATAAGATAATGTGAAAGTAGTTACTGCCACCTTTGAAGAAACTGTACTTCCTTTTTAAATGTATCATGTGTCTGTAATTAAAAGTGTAGTTACAGCCGGTATATTGCTTGTACAGGGCCATATGTTACAAGACTGTAAGCTGAAGTAGTACGTCATTGTTCAGAAACAAATTTAGGATTTCTATCGTCAATGATCAAAAGTTAAGTTATAATTAATATCCAAAATATCAAAAAAGTTAGACTAACATTTCATGTCACCAATAATTTCAGATTTTGATATGCAAACCTGAGGAAGTGAAGCGGATGGAGGAGATGATTAGGCAGGAATGCAAAGCATTATGTTCGTGCTTAGCTGATGACAAAAATGGAATGATCCGAGCCTTGCTGGAAGTAGTTGCAGGTGGAGTAGTTCAGACTGCAGCTGATGTGCAGCGGTATGTCCGGTGCACCCTCTTAAATGCCACACAACCTTTTGAAGAGGTTGTGAAAGCTGCTCAAGAATCATTGCGGTGGCTTTGCCATAAGCAGTTAGTTGAATGGGATAGAACTTCACGGCTCTATACTACAACGCCTCTTGGTCGAGCTGCGTTTTCCAGTTCACTCAGTCCTGAGGAGTCCCTGGTATGAAAGTTCTCCGTCTTTCTGACAGTGGTTGTCTTAGCATGTAATAATGCATACATATGTTGTCTCTACCTATTTCGACGTGCAAACTATCCTTGTTAAGGGCACATTTCCTGTCTCTGCAACTAGTGTACGACGCCAGTGGGTATTTTCCTGCATGAGAAGAATTTTGCTGAAACTCTGGACTCTGTAGTATACATACTCTATGTTTGGATGCTGTATGGACTTTTTGAGGGAATTATGTTTTGTTAAAGCCTTAGTCATTACACTTCAATCGACTTGGATAATTTTCTGTTATTTCGGAACTCGTCATTTGAAGTCTTTATTGGCACTTTGTTTTCGTTAGGTTGTGTATGAAGATCTTGCCAAAGCTAGGGAGGGCTTCGTTTTGGCTTCTGACTTGCACCTCCTTTATGAAGTTACACCCACTTACGTCGACATCGAGCCTGATTGGGGTGTATACTACAGTCGGTTCATGGAGCTTTCACATACTGACCAGGTTCGTAAGTCTTCATCAAAGTTATGTAGCAGCTTATCAACAACATCAACTGGGGATCTCGTAATCATCTGCTTGACTTTTATAACTTTTGAGCCATTTGAATAATTAAGGGCTGCATTTGTAACTTTAATTCACCTTTATCTGGCTGAGCGCAGGCAGTAGGTAATAGGGTTGGAGTAGTGGAGCCCTTTCTAATGAGGATGGCTCATGGAGTACCTCTTCTGCAACAAGGTGGCAATGGACGACCTCGTGGTGGGAAGATTTCTAAGGCGAAGATTTCTCCTCCCTTTCAGAAACATAAGTGGAACAGTTCGGGTGCAGCTCCACTACCAGTTGAACAAATGCTACGTGTGTGCAAACGGTTCTATGTTTCTCTCATGCTTTCTAAATTGGTTCAGGTATCCAAAATTCACTACGATTCTGATTCCTTCACAATTTCTTCTTCACTCGCATGTTCCTGTCAATCTCTTGGGGGACGATAATATTTTACAGAATATCTCCGCCCTCTCGACCAAGAGCTGGGTTTAGCTGCTGTAATTCAGTTCGTAGAACAAACAGAAAGCTCCTCAATTTGCACGAGGTTGATTTCTAAAATATTACAGATCGTACATTCATCTGATGGGTTTTCGTGTGTAATTTCAGGGGCATTTGTTTTCTTCGTAGTGGTTACTATCTTTTTTCAAACTCCTCCTTGCTGTGTTCTGAGATCTTTCCTTCTATGAATGACAGGAAGTTCCCCTAATGGAGATTTGCGAGTCATTCAAAGTTCCCAGGGGCACAGTGCAGGCCTTGCAAGATAGTGCTGGAAGATTTGCTGGCATGGTCGGAGCCTTTTGCGAAAGGCTGGGATGGAGTGACATGGAAGGCCTGTTCTCTAAGTTTCAGAAGCGAGTATCATTTGGTGTTAAATCTGAGATTGTGGATCTGACAGAAATACCATTTGTCAAGGTGCAAAGATATAGAGCTTTTCAATTTTCGCATTCTAGGATTTGGATAATCGAAAGCACTTCCATCTACCCTTCTGATATTTTGATTTGTTGTGCTCTGACGTCCTGCATCAGAAATCTATCATTGTTTTACTTTTAGTCTCTGCATGTTAATACCATGTTATAAGAGAAACCATCACCTCAAATGTTGACCTTCGGTTAATATATGTCTTTCTTGACACAGGCTGCCAGGGCAAGAGCACTGTTCAAGGCGGGTCTTCGGAGTGTACATGCTATAGCTGAAGCCTCTTTACCTGAGATTATCAAGGCACTTTATGGCAACATTTCTTGGGCCGGTCCAGGTATCCTCTTGAACTGTATTGACAGTTCATTCTTCATATTATGCCAGTTGCGCAGTACCATGATAGTCCTGATATTGTATTAGTTTCTGGACGGTGTTTGCTTGTTGCTTGTGCTCCTACTTTCAAAAACGACTAGATACTGAATTTAGCATCATTATGAGTTAATGTCTTGGAGATTCTGCCATCCAGGTGAGAATAGAGCACAACAATGGATGCAATTGGGCGTAGCCCGCAACATTAAGAATGGAGCACGACGTCTTGCACTAGATCGTGCTGAAGAGGCTAGAGCAGCAGCCTTTTCTGCGTATGAAGCCCTAGGTGTTCAAGTACCTGCTATGTTGGCATTGCCAATGGTTGGCACGCTTGGTAATGAGGAAGAAGCACTAGTAAACCCAGATATATCTTTTCATTCTACGATGAAAGCGTTGACTGTAGATGGTGATCCGGAAGTAAAAGATGTTCCAATAAGCTCCGAAGTAAAAGGTGGACTTGCTACTGACATCAACACTAGTGCTAAAAGTCTTGTTTATGTACAGAACGCACAGTCAATTCCTGGAAGTCCAAAGAAAGATATTCTAGAAAAAGAGTCTGATTTGTTACTTCAAAAGTTGGAGTCCATACCTTCTTTCAGAGTTCAAAATTCAAAAGACCCTATTTCTACTCCTGATGAGTTGCTTTTAGAGGAAGCAACTGAGAAAGTCGACTCAGATCTGGGTATTCAACCTGTGGGAAAGGCATGTGAAGGACTTCAAATGTCCAGCTTTAAAGATGGAGGTCCAGCGAAGGGTGCTTTATTTAATGGCTCGTTAATTGCACAACAGGTCTATGTAGTAGATGACACCATGGATGACCTTTTGAGGGTGCCATCTAGAGGTCCTCGAGATGTCGACAAGCTTGTGGGTGGCTTTGATGAGTTTCTGAGGAGATGGCAAGGCGTAGATGAGTTTGCCTTCGACTTTTACTTCAGAACTCCAAGGAAGGGGCTTCCAGATCCATTTGAAGTGATGGGAGTAGCTATATGTTGGAAGGATTCTCCTGTATATTATGTCAATCTCTCAATTGTGCACAAGTCCTTCCAGCATGCAACAAACCCGAATTGCGGTAATAAGGAAGTCATTATTAGAGAAGTAAACAGTTCCTTAATTGAGTCCCAGACTCGTTGGCGACATGTTGGTACTATGCTGTCCAAAACTGGGGTGAGGAAGATTTCTTGGGATTTAAAAATTCAACTCCAGGTTTTAAACAACCCTGGATTACATGTTCCGTCTGCAAGGCAGACCACAGAGCATGAACGCGGTGTACCTGATGTTAAAGCAAGAGAAGGAGAAGTAGTAGCACTGCCGTCTATAAGGGTGCAAATGCCCTGTATTGATACTCGTGTAGCTGCCTGGCTTCTTTGGCCAGACGAGGAAAGTACACGTCTCCTTTCCCTTGAGCAGGTGAGTGATCACTTACACCCACGTTTGTGGTTGGGTTATTACTAAACGAATACTTTTCGATCCATAGGAACTGTACCGTAGGGCTTGAGTGTTTTCTCGATTTCTTTATGGAACAGTTTGTAAGACGAGGAAATAGTCTAGTAAGTGCTGCCTGTAATGAGATGGAAAGTGATGCTTTCAGGAAGTCAAAAAGCGTCTGCCTGGAGAAATTGCTGCTGCGGCAGGAAGAGCTGGGAGATGGGCTAATCAGATGGGTTGCGTTGCCCATAACGGATGCTGCCGAAGAGTAGCACAGATATGGGTGCTGCATTGTGCCTTTTGGAAACTTTTGGTAGCTGAGGGTCTACATGAAGCTCTGCTGCAGCTTGAAATGCCTCTGGTAGAACCTTTTTTCATCAAGCAAGTGAATGTTGGTATTTAATTAACGCTTCGTGTCCATGTTTATAATATACATTTGGTTGAGTGGATTTTCATTCTGTATCTGGATGCTTTTCTTGTGAAAGCTATTCTTGTGAAAGCTAGTATTACCATCACGGAAGTTTGTTACAAATGGTTGTTGGCAGGTGAGAGTTCTGGCAGACATGGAAACTTGGAGTCTCGGTTTAGACATGCGAGTATGCCGTAAGGCGCAAAGCCATCTGCACTGCAAACTTCGTGAACTAGAAGCTCAAGGCGAGAAGCTTGCAGGAATGAGCTTCTCTTTGTCGGCGCCAGCTGAAGTAGCACATGTGCTGTACCGCCACTTGAAACTGCCAGTACCCCCTGGTTGCAAAGGCAAACACCATCCTAGCACTGACAAGCAAGCTCTTGAATTCTTAAGGTATCGGAATCCGCATTCGTTTGTGCAGCTCCATCTGTTTCTGCTCCAACTAGCCGTTCTGAAGGCACTTGTCCCTGTTCTGAAATGGTGGTTGATTTTCTATCAACTTGAGCCCGTTTGCTTCTAAGAAGAATAATCTGATTTGTGAATTGTCGTATTTGATATTGCAGTCATAGTAGGCGGCTGTCTATGATTTTTGTTGGTAATTTTTATCAAGGTTTCTGAGTTCCAATTTCTGATCTTATGCAGGAATCATCACCCGATTGCAGATATAATAAAAGAGCACAGAAGTTTGTCGAAGTTGCTGCAAAGCACACTTGGATCCATTATTGCCTGGGCAAAATCTCCAGAACCCCTTTTCAGCTCGCAAGAGCGCAGTAGTAGAGGAGAAATCTTCAGTATAGCTGGACATTGGCTGCAGACTTCAACAGCCACAGGAAGGCTGTCCATGGAGGACCCTAACCTACAGGTATGAACAGTGATGACTGGGATGTATAAGACATTTTCATGTTTTGATCGGCTGATGTCATGCAGAGTACCAATACGTAAGCTTGTTCATCTATGACTCAGTTGACCTGGTCTGTTGATGAAATACATTTTTTCCAGGCTACTGCTACCCACGATAGAACTCTCATTTTGGTCTATAAGGCCATCTGCAATCTGCAGTAGTGTGATTTTATAGTAATATATATTTTGTGGTTGGCTGGAGGGCCACCTGCTTCTCTGCACTGTGAAAAGTCATGATCATTCTATCGTGAGATGTGAGAAGAAAGATCTGAAGTGTGGCATTTGAATATGATAGTGCGTTGAGCATGCCGTTAGCTTCACGATTGAAGGGGGAAGATCGTTAGACGGAGACCAAGAGAAAGCGAATAACGTGGTGGAAGTCAATGCCCGTCAGGCTTTCGTACCATCTCAGGTACAGGTTTGGTCGCAGATGTCTCGCTTTCTTGTCAACGTCCTACTTCCACCACGAGACAATTCGAGGAAAAGTTTGGAGATTGTTTTGCGTTTAATAGATTTCGTTTGATATCTTCAAAATTAGGTCAGGTGGATTTTGTTATTGAGCCCTGATTAATGATCATTCGTTAATATCATCATCTTGGTTATCATTACTTATTTTAATCAAGAAAACTCCGAATCCCTGCTTAAAAGAGTCCAAATAAGAAGCTAGTTTGTTTCAGTATGAAGATCTAACTTGTGAATGTTGTGCAGGAGGGGTGGATTCTCTTGTCAGCAGACTACTCACAGATTGAGCTACGGTTGATGGCCCATTTTTCTGGAGACCCATCTCTCGTATCTCTGCTCAGCCACCCTACTGGAGACCTCTTTCGAGTGCTGGCCGCCCAGTGGACGGGTCTTCCCATGTGTGAAGTTTCTGATAAACAACGAGAGCGCACCAAACGCCTTGTGTACGGAATCTTGTATGGAATGGGTGTGAACACATTGGCCGAACACTTAGAGTGTCCGGTTGCGGAGGCTCAAGTCATGCTGGAGCGGTTCAAAGGCACTTTTCCTTTGGTGACTACCTGGCTTAGTCACGCCGTAGATTCGTGTCGCCAGAAAGGGTAAGAACTTGCTTCATTATTTTGTGGATTGGTTGATGATGTTATCTTAGTTGTCGATGCAAGCATGTAGGTTTGATTTACGTTGAACTGGAAACTTCAGAATTCGATTGTCTATTCAACCCGCAGATCGTGGTCTCCCACGTTGAATCTACGATGTAAAAATTTAGTAGCTGACTGATCTAGGAGTATTGATTCAATTTTTAGATACATAACAACACTGAGTGGACGGAAGCGGTATCTGGATAAAATCAACACTGGAAAGTGGGGAGAGCAAGCCAAGGCTGAAAGACAAGCTGTAAACTCTATCTGTCAGGTGAGCCAGATGCTGTAAGCAAACTTCTCCGTCGTTCGGTCTTTACTCGATTATCATCGTCATTGTGAGTTTAGTGACGAGTAGCAAATCACAAGCTCTGCTATGTACTCAGCTGTAGATTCATGCACTTGGAAGATTCGTGGGTTAAATATTGTTTGCTAAGTAATTGAAACTTAGCAATGACCTCCAAGCCAGCGAATTTGCATGTTTGTTCTTAGTCCGTTTTACTGTAATTTTTGTTGTTTGTACTCAAGGAATGTACATGCCCAATACACTCAGCCATATCCTCAAATCAGGGTTCCTTGTTCAATATGATGTTGGGTCATCTTCACTTCAATTTATAATGGAGACCTAAGATGTGTTGCGTTGGAGGATTTAAAATAAAGTCAAGAAATGTTAAATTCACTTTATGGACAATCGTATAGCTAACGAAAACGGACCACATCCAGGGATCTGCAGCAGATTTGATCAAATTGGCAATGATTAAAGTTCACGATGCCATCAGTTCATCACATCAGGGGTCTTGTCGTCTCTTACTCCAGGTAAGCTTCTACAATTGCAAATTTTTCTCATATATACAAAACCAGAGATTAGTCTGAATTTGAAACGAACTAATCGTTGAAATGTTGCAGATTAGTCCTTGATTTTGCCCAAAAATGCAAGCTTGGAATGTAAATAATGGCTAGCAATTGACCTCTACCACCAATTACCCCGTATGTTATCTGTGGTAACTAATGACTTTTCCATCTAATCGTAGATTCATGACGAATTGCTCTTGGAGGTCGATAAACGGGTCCTGAAGCATGTTGCGCAAATACTTCGCTCCAGCATGGAAGGAGCAATTACACTTCGAGGTAAAATTTTGACTCATTTGAATACTCGTATGAAGTGTTAAATGTCTAGGAAAAGTCAAAGAAATTGAACTTCAATCATCCAACATGACTGGTGCAGACATGTTGATGTACTCCAATTGTTCTTAGGTTGTCCTCGATCACATGACTCATCATCATTGATCCCTTGCAGTGCCTCTTCGTACGAAACTTCAAGTGGGAACATCGTGGGGCTCTTTGCAACTATATACAGAAGACTGACCATTGCGTTTAGGGTTCTTGTCTTCGTCGCATTCTTAGGGGTGACATGTATAAATACCATTCTTTTAGAGCTATTTATCCCACGTGTGCAACTAAGTGTGACATTTTAGTAGAGAGAATGTATCATAAATCAGATGCGACAGGGATGTAGGATGCAGCTTGAAAAGCGAAGAACCTGACCGATCAACTATTTTGATCTTAGTAGGCAGGCCTTCCACATAGTTAGAATACTGAAAGGAAAATTAGCAGCGTGGTCTTCCAATGCTTAACTTCAGGTGTAACAGTAAGATAATGTGCACCCCATTTTACACCTTGAGACCATGGTTTTCTAGAGAAAGGGTAAACCAAGCAATTTAGGCAGATGAAAAAATCAAGTTTGTTTCTTCTTTGTAAGACTCAACCACATGAGAATGTTAAGTTCCCCTCATTGAATATTTCTGGTATTTGCAACCCAATACAAGGAAGTTTGAAGGGCTCATGATGCTCAAACCACATTGTTTACAGTCTACACAACTTAAATCACCAAGGCAAATATCTTTGCAATCAAGGTTGCCACAACATGAGTTAGGGTTCTTGGTGTTGTGTGCAAGAGGACAGTATGTTGCCAAACACAACTTTGGTTGTGTTGGACCACAAATTGCAAGTAAGCCTAGAATTAACACAATTATGCGGGAGTTAGATTGAAGTAGAACTACACCATACTATTAGTTGAGGTTGTTAATAAATTTATTGTAAGTAAAGTGTACTCAAGTTTTAGTATGAGGAATAATGTATTTTGAGGTATTAATGTACATATAATATATTGGAGGTAGTAGAACTATATGAGCAATAGAACAAATGTTATTTCTTGGTTTAGTAATTGTAATGGATCCAATGTGATCATGAAAAGGTACAACAAACAAACAATAATTAAGACATACAAAAAAAATACAAGCAAATTAGCAATCTTTATCTAATAAAATATATTCTCAATGTTGCATTTATTTTTGGACTTAAATATAAAGTAATCCAAGACTTTGACTACAACCGAAAGTTTCAATAATAAAGATAGCTCATGGAGCAATGCAAAGAAATTTGAGTATTTTTCAAAATATTTTTTAATAACCTATTTTGTGAAAGAAAAAGCTTTTCTTTTCTAAATAATTTATTAAATAATTGAATTCATTTAAGTAAGATTTAAGTAGTTATATTACTTTTTTAAAAATACTAACAAATATTATTTTATTTAATGAAAAGAATTAAAAAATATAATTAATATTTTACATAGTCTTTATATTTCACATCTTTTAGAATTTGTACTTTTTAAGTCTGCAATCTAATTTCTGATCCTACATCCAAATTGAATTTAAAAAATAATGATGACATTGGTGATATGAAAACACCAATATAAATTATTGTGTCAAGCTTTTTTAATGAATTCACAAAGTTTTTCCATAGTAACCAATTAGTATAAATCAAATTTAAGATATTTGTTAATAAAAAATATAAAACATATAAAATATTTATTTTTCTACTATTAAATCTTAAGAAATATTGGAAGTTAGAATTTATATAAATAATCTTTAATCAAAATATATATATATATATATATATATATATATATATATATATATATATATATAATGTATTTATTAATTTTATTGATCCAAGAAATTTCTTACTTAGATTTTTTTAAATCTTGATAATAATTTATAAAATTAATAATTAATAAGACATACTATAGTTTTAAAAAATAACTAAAAAATATAATAGAATAATTTTATATGCAATCTACAATAATAAGCAAGAGATTAATGCCTAAAAATTGTTATATATTAGAAGTGCAAAAACTATTGAAAATAGAGAAAAAGATACAAATCAACTAATTTAAAGAATATAAATGATTGGTAATTGTTTGAAATATATAGAAATTTCAAAAATCTGACTTCAAATAACAAGAGCATAGATGAATAACAATTGAGTTAAGAACTCATAGAATTAAAAGTTTGCAATAAAATCTACATATCTTAGCAAGAGCATGATCTATTAAAAATCAATCAAGGAAGGATATTTAGGTGGTAGGATCTTAATATTTATCCTAGGAGCAATGCAAAAATGGTATAGTTAATTGGAATATAATAGGACTAGACACTAATATTAAAATTAAGGTAGTTATGTTAAAGCTTTTAGATATACATTCTATTAAAAGCAATAAAGATAACATCACCAACTTATAATATTGAGCAACATTTGGTGAAGCTTCTCAATGCCTTCATGTATCAATTACTTTGTAATTACAACTAGTCTATGCTAATGGACCTTTTATTCCAATTAGGTAAAATAAGATTAGAAAGGCAACTCTATCTTTAGTACAAAAAAACAAAACAAAAAAAATACAAAAATAATAATAATAATAATAATAATAATAACTTTGAAGCTACTTAGATCATAAGAAAAAAAATATATTAAAAAGTTAAGGCATATATTTCTTATTAAAATTATAATAAAATAAAAATATTATAAAATTGATACATAAACAATACATTTTAAATCTATGTCCTTAGATTGAATCACTGGATATGAAATGGGTGTTTAAGAAGATGGGCTAGATAATGCAAAAGTCAATAGAAGACAAGGGTCAAATAAGAAAAACAAGAACAACAAACAAGAGTTCAATAAATTATTTATATATATATATATATATATATATATATATCAAAGAAGACATGGACACATTTTTAACATAAATTAAATATATGTTGAAGTGGGTATAATACTAAAAGAGTAAAATAAAAACTAAACAAGTATCTTTTATAGTGTGATAAAAATAGAAATTATAATATGGGCTAATCAAATTAATAATCAAAATATATCATATTTAAATCTAATATATATATATATACATATATATATATATACATATATATATATACATATATATATATACATATATATATATATATATACATATAAATTAATAATATAATATATAAATTATTTAAATTTAATTTTTAATTTAAATAATCAAATATTAAATTAGCTCTTAAATAATGTATCTTGGAAGTAATAAAAAAGAATGGTGTCTTTGTAGTAAATTTAGTTTATTAAAGGTAATTAAAAGATGTACAATAATATACTATTAAGAAAATTCTTGCTTTCAAAAAAATAATTAATTAACCAAAGACATCTCACAACCTTTTTTCTTTTTAAATTAGATTTTTTAAAATCATATTATACCTTTTCTTTAATTTTTTTTAATAATAAAAAGATTAAAATTTTATCTCTGATTCTAATATTTAAAAAATTAAGGATAGAAAATAATTATTATTTAATTACTACAATTAATGAAAATAAATTTTTTATTAAGAAATTTTTTGTTAATATAAAACTCTAACAAAGTTGGTGAACTCTTTTCTGTGGCAGCATCAAAAGAAGAAGAAGAAAAAAACTGTGCTATACTGTGCTTAACTGTGCTATACACAAGTAACCTGCAGACCATCAATCAGAATAATTGCACAGGAAGGTCCACCTTGCATTCAACCACACCAACATTATCTTTTGTTACCACAATCCAGCTCTTCTTTGTATTGTGGTTTTCCAGACATGTGACACATGCTGATGAGCTGGTCGAGGATTCAGGAATCTGCTGCAATGTGAGATCTGTGTGGGTGATGAGACCTCAGAAATTAGGGTTTCCAGTCACACACTCATCTTTGTTATTATCTCTCCTACATGGGAGGACTGAATCAAGGAAGAATCAATTTTCCAAAAAGTGACTCCTGTTTCTAACTTATCTAGACCATGTCAGAGTTATTGTCAGGTCACCCTTCCTGGACTCTTGGCATGTAGGTCCTCACATCACAATGCTTGTCAGTGGCTGTTTTGTTTTGTTTTGTTTTTTTATTTTCTTCCCCCCTTGGACATGCAGTATTAGATTCTGCCACAGCACAATACCTATGCATAGGATTACACTGTTGTAGGCTCAGGTTTCAAGGGGGGTTGAAGGTTGTTGACCTGGATAACAACACCTTCACCCAAAAGAACAGAAGAAAAATTAACAATATACTTGGGAAGCATTTCTTTTCTTGGACTTGTTCAAATTTTGAAATAATAGTTAAACTGATGTTTGCTAAAAATCAAATCAGACCTAATCGATCCATGCTTAAACAAAAAAACAAAACAAAACAAAACACTTGTACTGTTTCTACAAAAATCAAGTTTTTACATTATTTTTGTTGAGAATGTTTAGAAAGACACAAGAGTAGTAGTAAGTAATACATACACACAAGAGTAATAGTAAGTAATACACACAAGAGGGTTTCTAAGGAGAGAGAGCTTCACATATAAAAATCACTTGATCTAATTGTGTCTCATATATAAGAGGAGAAGAAGAGAGAATAAACAATTCTTTTCCACTATATTCCAAATACTGTAGCTATGGTATTTATTGTAGTCTACAATAAATATTATGAAAAGTACCGGCTACATTTAATGCTCTCAACACTCCTCCTCACTCATCATAATATTTACATAATATGAAATTTGTATAGAATTAAAATCTATACTTTTCTGTAATCTCGCAAAATCAACTATTATTGCCTCATTAAAACCTTATCTAGAAAAACCTTATTGTATTTAAGGACAAAATCATAGATGAAGGAAAAAGCATACAACATCATTTTCCTTAATTATTTAAAGAGCTCATTAACTTTCTTATTCAAGAAAAGCAAGTCACTACATACCAATGCCATAAATAAGTCAATGATGGTTGCACAATAAGAGAGCTTTGGTGAAGAGATCAACAAGGTTATTTGTAGATTCAATTTTCTTAATTATAAGTCCTTGATTAGTAATCAAATCATGAATATAACTAAAATACTTGAGATCAGTATGCTTTATCTTGTCACCTTTAATGAAACCAACTTTCATCTGTGCAATACAAGCACTATTATCTTCATGCAAGATAGTTGGAGAATCATCATATGAAAATCCACAAGTTGTTTGGATGAATTTATTAATTGATCGCAACCAAATATATTCTTGAGATGCTTCATGTAAGGCAATATTTTCTGCATGGTTGGATGAAGTTGTAGTTAAAGTTTATTTCTTTGATTTCCATGATATTATAGCTCCATGTCTTAAAAATACATATCTTGTTTGAAATTTAGCTGTTGCAATATCAAATTTATATCCCACATCACAATATCCAACCAATTTTGGATTTGTAGATTGTGTGTAGTATAATCCCAAGTCTTTAGTATTTTTTAAATAACGTAATAAATATTTGATGCCATTATAATGTCATAGTATTGGACATGCATTATGTCTTGTAAGAACACTAATTGCAAATGCAATATCTAATCTTGTAGATATAGCCAAATATAAAAGTACTCCAATTGCTATGAAGTATGAATATTAATCTCTCAATATTTCTTCCTCCTCTTCGCATAGACAA